GTGCTGGTGTGCAGCATGTGATTTTTATGGTCTAAAACTTCTACCAGGCCTGGGATTATAGCTCAGCAGTACAGCACTTGCCTGACATATGTGAGCCCCAGGTTCCATCCCCAGCCCCACAAGCAAACCAACACACACCCTCTTACCATGGTCTTTTTAAACTAACATTGTGAAGTGACCAAATGTGAAATGGGAAGTGATGACCAGAAGCACATTTTATGGCATTTATACTTTAGGGGAATAAAATAGATAAGAATAGTCTTGAGAACACAGATAATAATAAAATATAAGCTTGGTTTAGTAGCGCACACGAATTCCCAGCACTCTGAGAGGCTGCAACAGGAGATTTTAAGTTCAAGTCTAGCCTGCATAACTTAGTAACATGCTTCCTTAAAATTTTTTAAAAAAGGTTATGGATGTAGCTCAGTATGAGGGTAGTACTGGAGGAGGAGGTCTATGGTTCCCAGCCATTTGAGTGACCCCAGCCATTCAGTCTTCACAAGCGTCCCTACCGTGTCCTAATTTAACTTTAACTACATAATCTCTGCATGTGATAAAGTGAGTGGTTTTATGGTGCTTTGTTGGGCATATTTTGTCATCAGCAATGGAATGGGCCTCATAGAAACAAGGGCTACCTTGCGGCAGGTTGCCGTCAGTCCAGCAAAGAGGGAATCCCTCAAAGATCATAGCTGGTAGACACTTTAAAGACGTTGCCCCCATTACAATGTTTACAACCCTTTCATTTATTTGACAGCTAGAAAGTGTAGGGGGCTGGGGATTTAGCTCAGCAGCATAAGTGCCTGCCTTGCAAGCAGGCAGTCGTGAGTTCAATCCCTGGTACCGATAAAAAGGAAAAGACAAAAAAAAAAAAAAAAAAAAAAAAAAAAAGAAAGTAGCATCCAGTGAGTGCTGGTGTGTGACTGCCACTGTTCAATGCTGGATAAAATCTTTGTCCTTGAGTGTTTGTCCTATAGTGGAGAAGGCAGACAATATGCAGACAGATCAACCTTGTTAGACCAGGCCAGAGGAGAGGAAGCAAAGAGACCATGAAGAGGAAATGCAGTGTCTGAGGTGAAGTTGGACCTTCAGAAATGATGGCCAGGGAAGGCCTCCTGGAGAAGGGGACTTTAATAAAGTCCTGTTTTGGAAAGGCCCAGGCTGGCCCCACCTGGCCCCACCTGGCTGTCCCCTCCTTGGCAAGCACACTTGCCACTGCTCACACCCAGTCACCTAGGGAGGCCTGAGGGCAACCTTAGGATCCAGGACCTTAACAGCAGCAGCAGCCTGTTCAGTGGGAACCACCTCACTAAGGGGCGATGCGGCAGAAGGAGGCCTTCACCTTTCCACCTAGTGACACTTTTCTAGTCCTGGAAGGAAATGCTACAACATGGAAAATAAGCCATTGGGACCAAGGTGTGGTAATTATAGCAGTGTTACTCATAGTATTTAAATAAAAACTGAAATTTTAATTACTAAACAGAAATAGAATTATAATAGTGACTAACTTTTAGCAATATTATGTGACAAGCACTGGGCAGGCACTTTATTGCATTCTCTCTCTTCTTCCTCACAAAAGCCAGAGTCAGACTACTTTATCCTTATTTGTTTATTTAAAAAAAAAAAGCTTTTTCAAAGTTATACATGATTAAACATTTCTAATGTCATGTTAGCTTTTACAGAATTAAATATAATGCAAGGAGTATATCATGATGGTCTCTTGAAGCCTTTTTAAATTTTAATTTGTATAATTTACAAAAAAATTACCAAAGTATTTGATAATATTTAAATTTGCATAAAATTAATTCAACGTCATACATAGGAACAAAGTATTTCTTTTTAGAATCTGTACAAAATTTTATTTCTTATAATGAGAATGATTATTAAATTCTCACCAGAGTTCCCTAATATGGACATCTAAGTCATTTTAACTGGTGTGAAGTGCACTTAGCAAATTCAAGAAATGAGGTTTGTATCGCACTTCCTGTGTGATTTGTGTCTCACCCTAAGTACTTGTTAGTCTGTGTGCTTTTGAAGGATAAGGTGTTAAGACTTACCACTGTGAAAGCACGTGCCATCTGAAAACAGGAATTCACTTTGCCTGCAATATGAAGAGAACAAGAATACAAAAATTATAGCAGAATAAGGAAAATTCTGGAATATAATGACCTGAATCAATAAAACAGTGGATTACTAATTAGGTTTCATATTTCACATTGCAATGTTTCACATTGTCTATTGCACTTAAAAATGAAAATGTGCTAATCACTATTAGTAAAGCATACTTGTTTTAGATAATTTCATTTGTTAGACTAGTTCATAAGCTAGTAGTTTTAATCATCTGTTTCTTTTCTCAGCATTTTGATATAATGGCTCTGGGATGAAGTGTGGTCATTGGACAATTTCCATGTAGACTGAGAACTATTAGTATACACAAACTCACCAAATTTGCTGCTCTATCCCTCTTTATAATATAAACGGAAGTCACTTACGTGCCTCATAAATTACATTACCTAGTACTTTTTTCTATAAAGTCTTATGATTAGAATTCTTATGCAAATCTTCTGATTAAACATTTCTTGTGTTCTGGTAACTTTTACAGAATTAAAAATAATGCAAGAAGGTATATCACGATAGTGTCTTGAAGTTTTTTCAGTGTTTAATTCCCACTTATATTTTCAGCTCATTTTTTAGGTTTTCAAATAGCATCTTTGATACTATAAATTGAAAAGCCAATTTACTTAGTTAGGAAAAAGTGTCGACTGTGGTTTTGGAAAATAAATTCAAACACTTCCTATATATTACATAGGTGTATTAGTATAGTATGTGTGATTATATATATATATATGCTGTGATAATATATATATGCTAAGTAAAGCAATATTTTGTTTGTCTTCTGCAAGGTATTCAAGCCGTAGAAACTTATCTTAAAGGGAATTAAGATCTTAATGCCTTTCTGCTCTTTGTCTGATTACTCAATTTCACAAACTATATTCCCATTTCTAATAGAAATCACCGCCTTATTCTGAAATGCCTTGCACTTTCAGTGTTTGTTGTTTTTCTGTCATAGTCTCATCTTGTCTTAACACATGAATATTGTAAAGCCAAGCTCAAAATTTTGTGCTCTAAGAATATTCACTGAATCTCTCATAAAAATTTTTATTTTGCTTTGGAAATATAACATTTAGCAATTTTATGAATAGGGACTACTATGGATATTTTTTATGATTCTCAATTATTTTCAACAAATAGGATCATTTTATTGCCACTTCGTTTCTCATTTCTAGAACATTAAAGACAAGTATAATTTTTACGTAAACTTTCTTAAATAATTCCTTCTAAGCATTCTTTCCTTCTTATTATTTTACTTTTTTTTTTTTTTTTACTTTTAGCTTGTTTAAGTCATTTTTAGTAGGGTAATTTCACTTATATTCCAGTCTCCATAGTAATCATAGTAGTTTCAATTCTGTCTTATTTTTGTTATAATCTTTTTTGTTTGCTTTTCATTGTAATTATCTATCTCCATCTTTTAAAACATATCTTCAAGTGTTTTTATAATGTGCACTTTTATGATTATCTGTTCATTAGAGTTTTTTAAACATGAGCAACTTATAAGCAAGTTGAATTTCTTATTAAAAATTTAAGAAAATTATTTGGGGCTGGGGATTTAGGTCAGTTGCATAAGCACCTGCCTAGCAAGTGCAGGGTCATGAGTCTGATCTTTGGAAAAGAAAGAAAGAGAGAGAGAGACAGAGAGAGAGAGAGAGAGAGAGAGAGAGAGAGAGAGAGAGAGAGAGAGACAGAGACAGAGAGACAGAGAGAGAGACAGAGAGAGAGAGAGAGAAAGTACCAACAAAGTTAAAAAATTGTTAATAAAAATCTTATTCTTTGACATAGAATATAAGAATGTCTTTTGCCTGATAATTGTGTCAGATATGTTGAGTAATTCTAGCTTCATGTTACATTGCACACAATAATTTGTTAATGAAGTCTAATTCTTACAAAGCCATAGAAAAATCTGTGGTGTTCTATAAATACTACCTGTAGTCCATGTTTTTTGTAATGGGAAACATTTATTTCGTCTTAAAAGAGGTAGGACCTAGTGGAATGTGATTAGGTCTTTGGAGCATTGCCTTCCAAAGGTTTAATGTAGATCTTAAAGGATCCCAGATTTTTCCCCAAAATAATGAGGTACACAGAGCAGACCTTCCTTTGTGGAATAGCATCTAATTATAATTCTGCATTACATCTAATAGATCCATTAGGAGATATTCCCGGTTATGGGCTGGGGATTTAGCTCAGTGGTGTAAATACCTGCCTGGCAAGCATGAGGTCGTGAGTTCGTACTGCAAAAAAAAAAAAAAAAAACAAACAACAACAACAAAAAAACCCCAAAAAAGTAATTCCCAGTTATTTTTCAGTTCTTTTTATGCTCTAAATGAAATCTATCTGCAACATTTAAATCCTTAGGTGAAATTATATAGTATCAGGCTGCCGAGTAACTATTTGGAAGATAACAATATGCAGAATAGTAACTGTTGTTGATTTCCTATTGTTTTATTTTTGAAACCCAAGGTAAGGGGCTGGGGATTTAGCTCAGCAGCATAAGCACCTGCCTTGCAAGCAGGCAGTCGTGAGTTCGATCCCTGGTACTGATGAAAAAGGAAAAAGACAAAAAAAAAAAAGAAACCCAAGGTAGTTCTCATTGTATTGATTTGGTTTGTTTTACTTTATTCTCTTTAAAATAAAAAAATGAAAAGATATATAGGCAAAGTGCTTTTCAAAATTAACACAATTTTTTTCTCAGTGTGATTATTATTAATTTGATATACATTAGGTTTACTGATATTTTGTCTGTTGAATATTTGGTATTTGCAGTACCAAAGGTTGAACCCCCAGCCTTCTGAGTTACATCCCCAGCCCATATATATTGTATAGGTGTTTATATAGATGTAAGTTATTAAATCATGTAGGTCATTTGAATTTGAATTTTTCTGCTTCAGCCTCACAGATTGTTGAGATTGCCATAACTTTATTTTTGAACCAAGAAACCATTGACATGGTTCAAAGTCAAAAGCATGTGTTTTGGAGTAAGAACTGGTGGTCAACTTGAGGCCAGCTGGATTACATCAGCATGGCCCTGAGTGTAGATGCTCCACCTGAGGAAAGTTGCCAGCATAAATAGAGAGGTCTGAGAAGGAGAAGGAAGGCGTAAATGCGTTATTGCGTTGAGGCATTGTGGGTTCTCCTATGAGTTGCTGTTTGAGCCATTGTTTCTCCTGGAGAAGCTCTGGTCCTCACATCGAGCATTGCTTCCTGGCTCCGGAGGGGAAGACATGCCTCTTGGTCTCCAAGATGAACTCATCGTGCTGGCTTCCTGGCAAGTACCCAACTGTGCTTGTTGTCGGAGAAGCTCGGGGCCTCCATGTCACTGAGGATGGCTATGGTGCTTTTCAGGAGAGCCCTGGTTTTTGTTGTGAGTGTACCTTCTCAGCTCCAGCATAGAACCCTCATCCCACCAGCACAGCTCTTTCACCCTGCTGGCATGGACTTTGTGGCTTCCACCACTGACCTTTGGGCCTTCCCGGCATGAATCCATAAAAGAGACCAGTGTGAGCCCTTCTTGTGGGCTCTGGACCTCCAGCTGGACTCATGGGAGACATTGTCATGGGCTCTATGTCTTCATCTGGACTCATGTGGGACCTTGTTGTGGGATTTAGGCCCTTGGCTAAATATTCAATGTCTTTGGTGTTGCGGATAGATTTCCTGCATTTTCTTGTGTCAACTCCTGGTGACCATTATGAAAATAATATTAAAATCTCCTTGTCCTGATTCTAAATGTTCTCTGCACAACACCATGTAAACTGACATAGCTCTGAGTTCTCTGTCACCATGCATATGTAACTGTTTTCATTAGTTTTTGGTTTGTTCAATAGTTTGTGATTACTTTTCATTACTTTCTTTTTGCAAAAAATAGCAAATATGTACATTTATCTCTCCTTTCTTGTAGAAAAGGTTGCATGATGTAGATACTTTCCTTCCTTTCTTCATGCCTTCCTTGTTTCATTTCACTTAGGCTATATTATGGAAATTAATCTGTATCAGGTCATAAATGTTTTTGTAGTTCTGTTTCCATCATGTGGATATAGCATAAGTTGCTCAGTCCGTCTCCAGCCGATGGGGATATTCCAGTCTTAAACTACTAGAAAAAGATTCTGCAATAAATAACTTTGTGCGTAAACTGTTTTTGTGTTTGTTAAATTTATCTTAAGAGTAGGTTCCTACAACTTTCTGATTTGTGTTGGTTTTGCTTGATCAAAAGGAAACTGCGTGTGTAATTTTGTTAGGTTTTCCTAAATTCTCCTGTAAAGCAATTGTATAATTTTCACCCTCCAGAAAAGCATGAGCATGTGTTTTTCACATTTTGCCAGCAGCATATGTTGATCAGTGTTTGAATTTTCTCCAAACTAATCCATGAGAAAGTACATTTTTAACATGCCTTTTTCTTAAAGAGCATTTTTCATGCATTTAATGTTCACCTATATGCATATCTTCTTCTCTAATTGTTTTGCTTTGTTGTTTATTAATTTTTTGAGGGTTTTTGTTTCATCTTTTGTCTTAACTTTCACAAATTATTCCTATTTTTAAATTTTATTTTTATTTTTTATTTTAAAGAGAAAAAAACCAAAAACCAAGAAGCAAACAGTCCAAAACAGCAACAAAAGCAAAATGACAATAACAACAGAAAAACAGTAGTGATACAGGATTTCAAAACAAAATGATGGGAATTTAATGATGGTTGTTATATTGTGTATTGTTATCTTAAAAATAGCCACTTGGGTCCCAGATACCAGCATGTAAGATTGATCAAACAATATAATTTCCCTTTGAGAAATTTCTTCCTTTTTACTTTATCTCTTGTAACTTTTGGGTCTTATTACTCTTTCAGTTTCTTACACTAGTGAGACAATGTAGTGTTACACATGAAAGTATGATTTATTTCACTATGACTATGGTTTCCAGTTACATTCATTTACCTATAAAAGCCTCAAGTGTGTTGTTCTTTATGGCTAAGTAGTATTCCATTGTGTAAAAATACTGTATCTTTTGTATCTGTTAATCTGTTGATGGACATTTGGGTTGTCACCAGGATCTGGTGTTTATAAATTGTGTAGCTACAGACATGGGTGTGCATATAATTATTCATATGTTAAGGTGACTGGCAGTCTGTGATGCACCCTGCAAATATTTTCTTCCATTTTGGTTCTTGAATTTGCTAAATTTTGTTGTTATCAAGGATTTTTTTCAGCTTCCACCCACACTACAAGAGAAGACCTGGAGGCCACAGTGTCCCTGGACCTCTGGACCGCCCAACCCAGTGGACCCTTATTAATAATAGCCATCTTTATGATGTTGAATCATCCTATCCAATTGCAAGGAACATCTATTTTTGTGTTAAGGCAGTTATTAAGGTTTTGCATGTATTTTGTTAAGTTTGTTTTTGAAGTATTTTGTTTTCTCTGTTGCTTGGAGGTCTTTGTTCCACATAAGAAATCTTATCTTTCAATTAGTTAGGTAGTTTTGCCTTTTTTAACACCATCCCGGGTATAGTCAGATTTCAAAACCACTGCCTAAATGAAAAATTAGCGCTAACCTTCAATTTAAGGTTGTAGGTTAAATCTAAATCACCTCTCAGCCTCCAAACCAGCCGCCCTTCTTCCAGACTCTCTACTGTCCCATGTGACTTTTCTCTGTTTTATCCTTTTGGCAACCTCACAGTGATCTTTGATCTTTTCTTCCATGCCTCTCATCCAACTGGGAGTCTAAATTATCTGCTCGTTTCTCTGTGATAGTGCTCTCTGTGAATTGCCCATTACTTCTAACTGCTATCCCTAAGTCCCCTGGCAAGGCCCAGAACCATGCCTATGTTTCTGCAAATGCTCTTTTCCCTTGTTATCCCCCATCTTCTCCTGATCTACTCAGAAAGCATTCCTCTCTGCTGCCTTCATGTCATGCCATGTTCCCAACCAGTGAGGCCATCACCCCTCAGAGTCCATGCAGACTTGTGACAGAAGCTGTCAGCTGCCCCTCTTAGGTATGAGGACCCATCTCCTCTTTGCCAGGTGAGTGTCTCCAACCTGAGTGGTACCCTTCTCTTTAATCTATTCTGTTTTCCACTCTGGGAAGTCATCTCTTAACCTTCCCACTCCCCCAAAGCCCTGTCGCAGCATCTCTCCCTCTGTGTGTCTCTAACTTTCTCTCTTTCTCTCCCTCCTCTCTCCCCACCTGTCTCCCTCTCTCTGAATAAGGTTTGATATTTTCAAGAAGTGTGCTCTGATTAACTCTGCAAACATCCCAGCTCATGTCATAATTCCTGGATCATCCATGCCCTGATCTCTTCTCGTGCAGTTGATGACATGGTTCATAGCATAGCTTTGACGTCAAGCAGAACTGCATTATGATTTTGGCCTGGCCACTCACTCACTGTACAACCCCAGCAAGTTTCTTTTCCTCTCCTGTGCCTTGTTTTCCTCTTCTGTAATACAGAGCTCATCATAATGCTTCCCTTGCAAAGTTTATGTCAGTATTAGCTGAACTAGTACTCACAACATCTTTACAGCAGTGCATAGCAGAGATTTAAAATGCTGGCAACTTTTACCCTTGTATTAATACTGAGTTCTTATAATAGGCTCTTTAGCCTCCTTGAAGGCAGGTCTGATTTCATTTTTTATTTAATTAGCAGTGTGGGAAGCATTTTTCTAAGTGTTAATTAATTTTTAAGTAGCTAATACATGTCCAGGAACATAGTTCAAAAGTTATGAAAAGGTTAAGCATAGAGGAATCTTGGTTCGTGAACTTAGTTTGTTTGGTGGTTCTGGAAAAGATGACCACACTGGTGTTTGTGTGGGAAAGATGGCCACGGTCATGTCTATAAACCAATGCAGAGTTTACACACACAAACAGAAGTTTGCCAAACACTTCTGTTTGCAAACAAAAGCATTCATGAACCAAGATAACACTGTTGTGAAAATCTAGAAGGCTGTCTTCCTCCGTGTTACTTCTGCCACTTGATTTTCCTCTTAGAGGAAAGAACATTATTGGGAAGTCAGTGGAGGACTTGGCTTTTACTAGACTGCAGTTCACTGGGAGCCCCTTTGTTTCCTCACTCCAGCAAGTTTCCTTCCTCTGTCTTCCTGTGTCCCCTGCTCCAGGACAGTGCCCTCCCACTACTGCACCTTCTCCTCTCAAATTGCAATCATCCACCCTTACCCTCACCCCCACCCAAAATTGAGTTTATCATTAGGTACACTAAGAAATTAATGGCAATAACTAATAAAATAGAATTATCTGGTGACATATTCTATTGGAATGTGGCCTCTCCTTCTTGAAAGGGTCCAAATGCTGTGTTAATATCTTCAGGCTGTGATTTACTTGGAGTTTCTGAGATTTTAGAGAAGCAATAAAGTGGGGATAAGGTGGGGACAATACACACCCTGGTCTTCAAGGTCAGACTCTGCCCCCACAATGAGTATCCTTTGATTTGTACCCTTGCCTACCTCACCCATCCAGCCAGAAGCTACTGTCCCCTCACTTGAGTGCCATAGGCACATGTAGCTTTTTTGTACCACTTCTGCAATGCCACTTGGGTAACTTGGGTGCCTGTCTTATCATGTTCTCATGTGACTCAGGAAATGGAGACCTTTTTGAAGATGGGCTATGCCTGTATCTCTCCCTTGTAGCGTTTGGTCTATAAAAAAATGCTTAGAAGTGGATAAATGGATAGATAGATAGATGAGAGGTACTATAGACTAAAAGAAGGTAAAGAGACATAATCATGAAATATGATGCCTAAAACTGGATTAGTTTCTGTTACACACTAACAAAGAGAGCTTCATTATGTTTCTGTTATGTTTGCCAATGCCCAAGTTATATGACCAAATTACCTGTTTATTCCCTTTGCAAATGTAACTATTTTCTACAACCTGTAGTGCCATCATACTATTCTGTATGCCCATCTTCCTGGGTGACCTGATTGATATGTTAACCATTGCTATCCTCTGTAAAGGACAGATGTTATCTAAAAGTAAATGCTAAAATTAGTTGACAAAGGATTGTAAATTCCTGGGAGACGTCTCTGTCCTCTGCAAAGGGAAACAAAGGTCTTCCTCATTCCTTAGCAGATCAAGGATTTCCCCATTTCCTGATCCATGCCTGTAAGCCATTCACTTTGTAATTGTTCTTTCTAAAAATATCTGTGAAAGTTTTAAGCGAGTCACACAGCTTTGTGAACTCCAACTGCACTGTGTCCCTGGTACCACGTAAAATAATCAGCACTACTTTTTCTTCAAAAACATGTCTTGCCCCATTTTTGGACTCCAAGTTGGGGGCTCGTTTTTGGGCTGCAAGATTTGGAGGCTCATCCAGGATTACTGGGGGACCCCTCCCCAAATTACTTTTCACCAATCGATCAGCTAAACATCTGTAAGTATATGAGGCTTTTTGCCCATTTGTAATTTAGGGCTTTTGCCTGTTCGTAACTTGCAGCTTCTTGCTTGTTTGTGTTTTGGGCTTCCCGCCCATTTGTGCTTTGGGGCTTTTGCCCGTTTGTGATTTGGGTGCACACATTTCTGACTGTAGAGGAGCCTAGCGCTCCTTCTGCACTAGAATGGGATGTCTTCCAGGGACTTTCACCCATTTTTAACTTGGAGCTTCGGCTCGTGTGTGGGGCTTTGGCCCATGTGGGGTTTCAGCGTGTGTGTGTGTGTGTGTGTGTGTGTGTGTGTGTGTGTGGCTTCGGCCTCATTGGGGCTTCGGCCAATGTGGGGTTTCAGCCCATTTGTGGGGCTTTGGCCCATTTGTGTGCCTTCAGCCCATGTGGGGCTTCAGCCCATGTGGGGCTTCAGCCCATCTGTAACTTTGGGCCTTTTACCCATGTGCATTTTTGTTCCGTGTTTTTGTCCTTTGGAGATGTCTGCCTGTTTGAATCTGTTACTAACTTTGGGGGGTTTTTTTGCCCATTCAAACTTGTTGAAGTTGTTACTAACTTAGGGGCTCATTGCCCATTTCTATTGCAGGATCCATGCAGCTCATTGGAGTCAAGGTTCATAATGAAAATTATTTCCTTTAGCTTGCCAAACTCTGGAGAAAAAAACCTTTATTTGTGTTGGGCTTGTCTTTTGTGGAGCCTTGTTTAATGTTTTAGTCCTCAATTCCTTACTTGCAACCTCCGCAGGCCTTTTT